TCAAGAACAACATCAGTAAATTCTTGTCACTGTCATTTCTTACCGCAAATCACTTTACGGTGTGTCAAATTATAATGGCTGTGTCGCAGTTTTTCTCGTAACGCACTCAGATTAGTAGGAAAAGTTACTTTATTTAGGAAATTGAAATAAGGAATCACGTATTGTACATCACCTTTGTGTGATTAAAGCAAATATATAAGGCATTACTACTGAATTAACAATCAGGAATCGAATGTTCAGTGATATTATTCACATAATATTGTAGAATTTTGAAATTGCAACTGCTAAACTACAAAATAACAAAATTACAAGCAATTGTAAAGTTAATATATGAAGAAACAATCAATTCTATACTATATAAGAACCCTATTTACACGGGCAGGCTCTTTAACGGCCTATCTCGTATCAGATTGAGACTGCCTCACATGTTGAAAAGATCATAACTGTTCAAAGTCAAGAGATTTTCTCTTGTCAAAGTCCGTTATAGTTTCCAAGGTGCTACAAAATTAGGCTGAATGGAAATCTCCTGAATACACAAATTTATTGAACCTGGGTGATATATTTCAAAACTGAGAGNTCCAAGGTGCTACAAATTTAGGCTGAATGGAAATCTCCTGAATACACAAATTTATTGAACCTGGGTGATATATTTCAAAACTGAGAGCTTTCATCCTCAGTGTATTTGACTGTATTTGAAAAAGTCAATTAATTAACCATTTCTTTTACAGTAAAAAGAAACCCCGGAAATTGTCCTTGTTCAACTTTCGTTCCATTGTTGCTCTCAGAACTGTTTCGAAAATCAAATCTAACTCCTGAACAAACAACAGAATGTTGACCGTTTTGACCAAAACAGGAGTTGGTGCCCTCAGAAATAAAGGCTTCCACACGGTATCTGACACTCCTCTTTATGTCAACTGGAATGTCGAAGAAAACATTGAAACCGTAGTAAGAAACTTGTTCTGACCTGATACACATTGAAGAAAATTTTCCTGATTTCTCAGAAAGGATATTATCCTTATATAAATTTCTTACCCTGATATTGACAGAGTAATTACAATCTTTACTTCCACAAAGTGTCACTCCAAGTAAGGAGATGTCTTTGTCGACCCCAAAACGAAGACAGTCTTTTTTACCAGGTGAATAAGGATAACCTGAGCCAGTGGGAACCGCGGAACCAAATCTGCAACAACGCTCAACCAATTCCTTCAAACCAGTACGTTTGGTCTCTGGAAATCCTACTGGAGTGTTTCGAATTGAATTCAAATGTTTCACCATCGTAATAGATTCATCTTGTGTCAGTATCTTGCAGTCAAGAACAACATCAGCAAATTCATGTTGGGTCATTACGGGAAAACGTATTCCTTTCACAATCCCAGAGATCAGTAGAAGCTTCGAAACGATAATCGGAGCCCTTCATTAAGAAAACGGGTTGGTAAAAGAAAGTATTGAAGCGGCGTAATAAGACACTCATTCATACTTCTAAGACTCAGGAAAATCTTTTCCGATTTGGAATCAAGATATTTCTTTTCACCCAGATCTTTTACCCGTATCGTTACACTGACAATACACGGTATTATTTTTGCTTCTGTACAGTGTAACTCCAAGTAAGGAGATATCTTTGAAGATCTTCTTCATCAGATAAATACGGATAACCTGAATCAGTGTGATCCAGGGAACCAAATTTGCGACAGTCAATGATCAAACAATTTCTTGAAGCCAGTCTGATGGTCTCTAAAAATCCTACTGGATTGTTTTGAATTGAATTCAGATACTTAAAACTATCGTTAAAGATTCGTCTTGTGTCAGTATTTTGCAGTCAAGAACATCATCAGCGAATTCTTATCACTGCCATTTCGTACTGCAAATCACTTAACGGTGTGTCAAATCATAATGGTTGTGTCGCAGTTTTTCTCGCAACGCGCTCAGGTCTGTAGGAAAGGTTACTTTACTTAGGAAATTGAAACAAGGAATCACGTATTGTACATCGCATTTGTGTGATCAAAGCAAATATACAAGTCATTACTACTTAATTAGCATTCAGGAATAGAATATTGTAATTGCAACTGCTAAACTACAAAATAACAAAATTACAAGCAATTGTAAAATTAACATAGAAAGAAGCAATCCATTCTATTCTATATAAGAACCCTATTTACATCGGCAGGCTTTTTAACACCCTTTCTCGCATTAATTGAGCTAATTGAGACTGCCTCACATGTCGAAAAGTTCACAAGAAGTCCATTATAGTTTCCTAGTTGCTTCATTTTTAGGCTGAATTGAAAGCGTCTGAACCAACAAATTTATTGAACCTAGTGCTTTCATCCTGTATTTGACTGTATTTGAATAGGTCAAGTAATTAACCATTTATTTTACAATAAAAAGAAACCCTGGAAATTGCCCTCGACTGACTGTAGTTCCATTGCTACTCACAGTACTGTCTTCAAAATCAAATCTAACCCCTCAACAAACCACAGAACATTGACCATTTTCACCAAAACAAGAGTTGGCACGGCCAGAAATGGTAGCTTCTACACGGTAACTGACAGCTTTGTTTATGTCTACTGGACTGTCAAAGAAAACATCGAAACCATAGTAGGAAACTAGGTCTGACTCGATACGAACTGAAGAAAAATTACCCGTCTTGTTACAAACATTATTCCACATAAAGAGTTCAAAGTGATCTATTTGAATAGCTACAGAATAATCACAATTTTTGCTTCCGCAGAGTGTTAATCCAAGTAAGGAGATGTTTTTGTCAACTGTAAAAAGAAGACAGTCTTTTTTACCAGGT